TAAGACGCAAAATCCTGTGAAGGCCGCTATGCTGTTTGATTGTGTTGATGCTGAAACAATTTGAACATATTTTGTATTATATTTAATATGCAAGAAGAGAAACTTTTTAGTGTAACGGTATTTACAGAGGGCATTTAGCTTGCTAATTTAGGATTTTTTAGAATTATTTTATCTTTCAGTTGAATAAGTGGGGCTCTGGAATCGCCTTTAGGTTTTTTTTAATAGAAAGGATGGTGTGTTACAACCAGTGAGCAGGTGGGTTTAACTGCTTGTTATGGAAATCGTAAATACTTTCCTTTTAGATGCATTTGATGGAAGACCTTATTTATATTCACACTTATACTGTATTGATAAAGCGGTTTTGCTGATATCAGTACATTTATGCTGGAAGGTGCTAACACTGCAGTCTGCTATGTGCCCTAGTGGAATCACAATGTGGACATTTGTAGTAGTTAGGCATTGTACAGACTGCCTAGTCAGTTGTACTGAGATGTTTTTTTAAAAGCTCTTACAAGATCTGTAGGACTCGTTTATTAACATTAAGCCTCGTTTATGTAATTTGTTATATTAAAAAAAAAGATCTCTCTGTGCTGTTGCTCCCAGACACAAGTTTCAAACTGTGTGATACGAATATCTGTAAAGAATAAGTCAAGGCAACTGGACTTGCTGTATTTTTCTAGAAGACGTTTCACTGGACATCTGACCAGCTTTCTCAATTCAGAATGACTTGTACAAAAATTCTCTGGGAATAAATATGGTGAATGTTGCTATTCCCAGATAATTTTTGTACAAGTCATTCTGAATTGAGAAAGCTGGTCAGATGTCCAGTGAAACGTCTTCTAGAAAAATACAGCAAGTCCAGTTGCCTTGACTTATTCTTTACAGATATACCATGACCTGGATGAATGAGACCCTTCACAGACATATGTGTGATACAAAGCTACTGTTGGTACCTGAAAGTTCTAATTTAGGGATGTGACAACCAGGCTAACACTTGTTCGAATGAGGAAATCATTATATCAATAAGACCCACCAGACCTCAGTAATGGTACCGATGGTAATTAACTTATATGTTGGGTCGTTATTAATAAGCAGTGGTGTAAAAAGCAACCAATCAATACATACATTGATCTGCAAGGTAGTGTTGCTGTGGTTTACTGGGCACCACTGTTGTCCACCTTATGTAATTAAGCCCCTCATCTTTTTGGAAATGGTATCTGTTCTTTACAGGTAACAATAGCGTCATTTGTAAACATCTTAAGGAAACTGAGCACATAGAGGGGGAATTTATCAAAATTGGAGCGGACAGAATCTGGAGCAGATGCCCATAGTAACCAATCGGCTTCATTCTTCAGTTCAGATAAACTTTGAAAATGAAAGATAGAAGCTGATTGGTTGCCACAAACAATTGCTCCAGAGTCTGTCTGCTCCAGTTTTGATAAATCCCCCCCATAGTGTTTATGCTGTAACCTATAACAGCCAATCAGATGTCCCCCTTTGTTCTTTATTTTCAGCTGCTAGAGGATGCATCTGGTAGCTGTAGGTTTGCAAGCATTATTGAATTACTTCCTGTGCTTTGATGATGGCTTGTCTAGAAAACTTCAAAACAGTCTGTGCTTTCAATTGTGACATAGATTTTCCTTAAAAAATTATTTTAACTGTATTTTGATTTGAAATAATTGGGTGAGAGTAAAGGGGAGAGCTATTTTTTACACAGCTTCCAAAGGGAGCTTTTTGTTTCATTCACTTTGCTTCTATGAGAGCAAATTTAAAACAACATATTTATAAGACTAAGTGGGTATTTCTTAAATTCACTCCCTTAGAAACGCTTTGATTCCCAAGCTGGGGCTTTGGCAGGGTTCTGGTTTAGGGAAAGTGTCTGCAGTGGGTCTAGAGTTTATAGAGACTGCAATTTTTATTGGTTATTTCTTTTACTTGTTGAACCAGAAAATGATCCATTTGCGAAGCACTCCTCATTGTATTTTGCACTAAAAAAAATAACTACAAGCACATTTAAATAACACCCCTAACTGTATTTGTTACTTGTTCTTTTGAAGTACATGTGTTTTTTTTATGTGCGGCAGAGTTAGTCATGTGATTACCTGGATCAGTTATTTTTATGATAAAAACATTTAATCTAATAACATGGCTCTCATTCAGGTCCCATTCACACCATGTCCGGATCATCTCCAGACCAGATTGTTTCCTGGACCCTAAATGCATCCTAATGTATCCCTATGCTATTTCTGGCCTCTGTTCCCACCAGCGCAGTCTGTTCCAGACCAGAAAAATACTGCATGTCTCATTTTGTCTGGTCTGGAATGCAATGGAACGCATAGAAACGTAACAAAAATGCCCGGAACGCACCTGTAAGACCATTGTAAGCTTAAAAATAAAAAATCCAAACGCGGGAAAAACGCAATGCACTATGTTCCAGATTTGGTCCGGAAAATGGTGTGAACCCAGCCTCAATGAGATCTCATAAGGTAAAACCACAATTGTGGAAATTCCTTCTAGAGAATTGGTCCTGTCATGAAAATCACTCTCTGTACTGTATTTAGATGGTGAGTATAATTTTAGTTCACAACCCTCATCTAGCAAACATTGCTCCCTTTTAAAACTGAATGCAATAGGAACCTATGCTGGATTTTTTTTTTTTTTTAAATAAGCTTTAAGAAGAGTTGAAACAATGTATTTAGTTTGTTGCATGTTTAATTTTCCCCTGTTACATTTATCCTAAATCAGTAGTAATGACATTTGTATATTTCCCCTGTGGTAGCTTTGATGGCTTTATAACATAGAAAATGATCATATAGTCAAGTATCTGCTTGTATAATTTGAAGGGCTAGTTGTGATTTTTTTTTTTTGTGTCAGTATTAACTTTAATTGTCTTGGAGCAGTTCCCACATATCTCTATACTGTCTACCTATATCATGGCCATTACCACTGCCAGTGGATCCGTGTGCCACTGGGACATTCTGGCCTTGACGTGGTAGTTGGATCCAAAGCCTGTCTGGTGCTTTTCAGAGTGTGAACAATATGCATGCTGGGCAGGATCCACACTGTACCTTATAGAGGATTAGGGCCACCACTGTCTGGAGTCATATCGGTATATAGTTTTCACAGCTAAGTGCGTACCTTGCGATAGCTGAAAACGTGTTTTTTTTCATATGTGATCACATAACATGATTTTCACAGATGTGTCCTGAAACTTTTTGTATGTTTTTTTTTTTTTTTTTTTTTTTTTTTTTTAAGGGGATTTTTCTTTTTTTTTTTTTTTTTTTTTTTTTTTTCTTTATAAGGGTCAATTCACACTATGCATTAACATAACATGTTATTGTGTGTTAGGGTGTTCATTGCTAATGCAGCCCATCCAGATTAGTTGGTTGGTTGTGCACCTTAAGACATTAAAGTCTTGATCCTTTCTCTTTAACACACTGCAACACAACAAATCCGTTGTTTTGTGCAGCAGTACAGATGCATTGCCCATGGCCATAGTAATGTGTTGAAGTTGCATTAATTTGGAATGGAACCCCACTGTAACACCATAACACATCAATGTGAGTGGGCCCTAAAGAATTTTCACCTATATACATTAATATCCACATTGTTTACAGAGAACAGTAGCTGCCATAGTAGGGTTAAGTATCCATGAAATATCCATTGAATGCAGCGACAGGCTGCTTCCAGTGGTCTCATGGTGTGGACAACTGAAGACGCCTGCCAGTTTTCGCTATACAATGTTTGTTTAGCATTTTCTACAAAGCACAGTTAATAAACCATCTTTCTATAAAAATCTTTGGGACTTTGAATGTCACAGCAGGTAAAGAGCTGGACATTTTCCTCTAATAGTCTGTGAAAAGCTCATATGTAAAATTTGTGGCTTGCAGAGCTTTATTTAATAAAGTAATTACACGTAGCAGTGGTGCTCGGTTCTACACAGTTACCAATCACTGAGCAGCTTTCACTGGATTGACTGCACTATGCCAATGGAAGCTGGGGTCTGGTTGCTGACTTTACTGCACACAAACTCTTCTTGAACTATAGTCACTCCATTGTGTGTTTAATGCAGCATATTGCAAGGCTTGAAACAGTCAATTCCATAAATAGATAGCAATGTTTTGAGCAAGTAGTTGTGACAAGCACAAGAATTGTTGATTGCAGTGTAACACAAAGACAATAATGCAAAATATAACCTCTTTGGTCACCGCGTGGTTTACTTACCCAATGTTTACTTTTTTACAGTGATTTGTAAAGCCATTGTCTACAATCTGTGGGCTTTGTTGTCCCCACTTCTGTATTACTTGCTATTCCTTCTTCTTATCAAAACATTGTACAAGTAAAGTATTGGATTATTTTTTTGTAATAGAGCAGTTTTTACCCTTCTATATTGTGGAATTGTCCTTTTATCATCAATGTACACCTACAAATTCATAATTCAGGGGAGTTTTCATCTGTCGTAAGGTGTGACTCGCCATGCAGGCAAGTATGGGCCCGAGCAGGGCTGTCCTGTACCCATTGCTGCATTTTCCATTAAAAATCTATCTAAAACTCATGGATAGCCCACTAAGTTGTGACAACTTCATAATGGCCTTAGTGGAGGCAAAAATAACAGTGAGGGAAGTCTTTGTCACCGAAGGCCTCAATAAAATAAGGCGACACTAGATTTAACCCATTGGCATCTAGTGAAAAGTAATATGTATGGGTGGACTTAGCCCTTTAAATAATACTACCTTGTGTCCATGACTCTACACATTTAGCCTGATGTGCTGAGTCCCCCCATATTACTGCAAAGACACAACTGCATAACCAACTTGCAGATTCTGAAAATATCCGGTAATTGCTGATGCTTTTTATATGCTGGTAGTAAATGGCAAAACTTGATGGGGT